AGCCTGGTAAACGAGTAATCAAACGCTCTTTTCTTTGTTATTATTCTCTCTAGTGAAAGGAGATATGGTACGATTCTTGTCAGTAAACATGCATCCATCACTAGCTAGTCCATATTTTCCACTCTTGCTTAACTCTTTCTTGCGACAGTGTGTATTCATTGACACAATGTTCATTATTCAAAGAATCAGACATCCTTTTTTAAGTTTTAACAATGTTTCGTTATCAACGCGCACTTTGAGTGCGCAGAAGGTCTCAAGCATGCATTTTTCAACAAACGATGTTGCTTTGATACTCTCTTGCAGTCTTGGTGTCTAGGAGAAGAGCAACTGGCTTTTCTTTTCGAACAAAAAGTGCAGTTGTAACAGTTGTCTGATTCTGCCGTTATGCCTTGACTCTAGTCTCAACCTCAGGTGAAAAAGCTCAGGCGAACCGGCCCCAGAGTAAAGGGAGTCTTTTGGTTCTTTTGATTTTGAGTTTGGCAGTGTAAAAGTGGTTTGCCTCGGACATACCATCGCTCAAGTGCGGGGCCATAACCTTTGAGCAGAAGCAAGAAATAAAAGCAGAATAGAAGCACACTTGGAAAGTTGGGAAACTTATGAGGGCACCTGTTTAAATTTCTGCTTTGCGGGTGAGGCTGGGTTCATACTGGTCCGTATGTCCCGAATAGTTCCAGCACAGTTCTCGCACTGTGCTGGAATAGTTCCTTGACTATGCTACATGCGCTGCAGCCGCTCGCATGCAATTCCTTGAGCGCCTGGAGCTGGGGGATCTTGAGCGTTTTCAACGGTTTTTCTTCCAGGTTTCTCATTTTGGTATTTTCCTCTACCCCGTCTTCTCTTTTGATCAGCAGAACTTTAAACCTAAACAGCGTTGAAGGATGGGCGCTCTTCTGCTCTGCGTGTCCAGCAAAATATATGTTCTTGCGCTCGTCCGTTCTCTGATCATACATATTCCATTGTTCCAGTAAGCCGCTGCGTAGTTCCGCATCTGTGTTGGAAAGGGCATAGACAGGTTTCTAGCGGCCCTGAAACAATGGAATAGGGAATGTAATATGATCAAAAATAAAAGAAAGAGAATGGACGAGCGCAAGAACACACATCTTATCGGATACGCAAGCCGAAAAGCGCTTATCCTAAAAGGGAGTGTCCAAACAAAAAGTCGATTTTGAGATTTTGTGCTTATCCGGGCCTATCCGCCATGCTGAATCCGAGAAACCACAATGGAGAGCGCAAAAATGCCAAAAAGACCCTTACGCAATAGAAAAATTGCAGGTGGGCGGGGCTGTTCACACCGTGACGTCACTCAGCCAGGCTGGAGCGATCTCCCCGGTTCCGATTTTATGTCATGCGTTTCGCAGTTGGCTGGTGGTGATGTTGGGGGTGACTAGTGGAAGCGAGAAGATCGCTCCTGAAGCTGGGAGAGTGACGCCATTATGTGCACAGCCCCGCCCACCTGCAAATTCCCTCCTCCGTTAGAGCCATTTTTCGCCGTTTTCGCCCTCTCCAGTGTCGATTTTCGGATTCAGCATAGCGAATAGGCTCAGGTAAGCACAAACCCTCGAGATCGACTTTTTGCTTGGACACTGTCTTCAAAGGCAGTGGCTCGAAAATCTCAACTTAGTCAAAGTTTCGCTCACCTGGGGTTATTCAATATACTGATCACGAAAATCCACTTTAGAGAGCTCGAAAACGGCGAAAACGAGCGTTTCTGAACCTCCTTCCCTTCAAAACTGGACGAGTGGAGCAAGGCTGATGACGCTGACTTGTGGGGACCATGGATGCGATAGGTGGAGAATTTCCTCTGAATCCCTTTACTTTGGGGCCGGTTCGCCTGAGCTTTTTCACCTGAGGTTGAGACTAGAGTCAAGGCATAACGGCAGAATCAGACAACTGTTACAACTGCACTTTTTGTTCGAAAAGGAAAGCCAGCTGCTCTTCTCCTAGACACCAAGACTGCAAGAGAGTATCAAAGCAACATTGTTTGTTGAAAAATGCATGCTTGAGACCTTCTGCGCACTCAAAGTGCGCGTTGATAACGAAACATTGTTAAAACTTAAAAAGGATGTCTGATTCTTTGAATAATGAACATTGTGTCAATGAATACACACTGTCGCAAGAAAGAGTTAAGCAAGAGTGGAAAATATGGACTAGCTAGTGATGGATGCATGTTTACTGACAAGAATCGTACCATATCTCCTTTCACTAGAGAGAATAATAACAAAGAAAAGAGCAGTTTGATTACTCGTTTACCAGGCTTTCGAATTATAAAAACATCGAAAAAGACCTTCTTGGTTTGAAAAGATAATTACCCAGATTTGGCTGATATTGTAGCTAGATAAAACTGCTCATATCTTGCTTCACAGAGAAGCTAGGAAAAAATAGACGGTCTACGTCAAATCCACGTGTCCATAGCTTCGAATGGTATACAAAGTGTTAGTGCACAAAGCTTTCCTAGTCCAAAAAAGTCTTGCTTCGGCGACCCATAGAAAGCGGAATGGGGTGGAGCAAGTTAATACTGAATATCTCCAACTCTTGAAAAGCCATGAGTTTTTTTCACTCAGCAACTGCATACCGAAAGCTTACGAAACAGGGATTCGACGTAAACCGTCTTTTTTAGCTCCCATCTACTCAGAGATACATGGCATTTTAGCTAAAAGCATGTGTGTTTTTGTGAAGAAATTTTTATGCAAAGAATGAATGAAGATGCCAAGTTGTTTAACCCTATTACAGAGCAAATCTTCGCCAGTACGTAGACCGTCTCTTTTTTTTCTAGCTTTTCTTTTTTCTTCAGAAATGGAGAGCAAAGTGATTGCACAAAATCAGCTGCTGCTGAAGCTAGATATGTTTTTTACATCTGAATCAAGAAAGCTGGAAACAAAGATACGGCCTAAGTCGATTCTCGTTCCAAGCTTTTAAATGGTATGTCGCCTGATGAAACATAATGCTTTCCTGAGTCAAAAAAGTTTCTATTGGATGACCTTTCAGAGCCTAAGCATTGAAAAAATCTTCATATTGCACCTCTGTACTACTTATTTTCCTTCTTTTCATTCCCATTAGGCATGTAAGCTTGCGTTAGCATTCTTAATGCTCAGTTACCCCCTTCAATTTTCTGGGTCAGAATAGCCAAAACCCCCTTCACCTGGAGGGGACCCTCCTCCCCCTATCGCACCTATGGTCGGGATCCAATCATAGCATTGCGGCGGGCAGCCTCCAATGGTGAGAAGGAAGTTGCCAACTCGTCCGAGTGCGTGTAGGATTGGCTTGCGCGTACAAATTTGAGAGCGATTTTCTCGACAGGGAAATCATGCTGTGCAACCGGGATTGCACTGTTTTCATACTTGGGCGATAAGGAACCTACTGCGTTAAGATCCTGGGTTGCCAAGTTTTGCCGATCCACTGCCTTTAAACCCCGCTTCAAGTTTGAAGTCCTGCTAACAGGGGCTGGCACCAGCTGGGTAGGGGAACGAAAGCCGCCAGTTTGAGCCGCCTTTCGCGGCCAACTAGTCCTTTCGCAGTGTTGTTGCATGTCGTCCCAGGACCAGCAGTCCGCGAAGGCGGTCCAACCTGGCGGCTTTCGTTCCCCTACCCGCACCAGCTGGCACGGGGCAAGGTGGATATCGTTTTTGGGTCAAAAAGCAAAGGGGATATCGTTTTTGTCATAAATTGCGGACAAATTGCGACTTTTTTTTAGTCGGTTTCGCTTTTTGAAGGATTTTCAGGGATTTTGGGGGTCAAAGACTTTGTAAAAATTAGCAAATTTCAAGGGGGACTTCGTTTTGAAAATTTCCTGGTGCCAACTCGTGCCGAGCCCTGCCTGCCAATCAAAAATGGAAGCGGGGGTAGAAAAATAAGCCCAAAATGAGATAATCTGGAAAAAAACCTGAACCCCGAAAACAGCCAAAATTTTCCGAGTCACGCCACTCAAAATTGCATGCGAGCGGCTGCAGCGCATGCAAAGACAGTTCTGGTACACTGCGAGAACTGTGCTGCAACTGCTCCAGGACATCCAAATCATATGAACGCGGCGTGAGTACCGATGCCACCGCAGTTGAGTTGTAGAATTCCGCAGTAACTCTGCGTCTCAGCCTTGAAGCGGGAACTGTCCAATTTCAAATTTTAAAGCTTTTGGAAACGCATGTTTTCGCCGTTTTCGCGCTTCTAATTTAGATTTTCGACCCTAGCGTTGCGCATAACCCCAAATAAGTGGATTTTCTGGAAATCGAGTTTCTGCCCGTACACTGCCTTTGAACTCACTTTGGCAAATATCGCGTTACTTCGACCAGTCCTTAGCGTCATAGGCAGCGTTAACAATTCCTAAACAGCCTCGTTTGGTAACGTCAGGCCAGCACAAAAACTCAACATTAGAAACCTGAACTTGTGACGAATGAACTCGAGGTGATACGTTTACGATAGATGATGAAACTATAATAAGTTGCTGATCGAAAATGAAAGAGGAACATCGACTCGAAAGCTGTGAAAAGCGTGAAAATCTTATAGAAAAGACACAAATGCTACGACAAACTATTATGTCACAAATGATCTTGTCCATATCATCGTCTTTAGCTCAGTTGATCAGTTACTGATTGCTTTTTCGAAGAAGCAGCTTTTACTATCTACACTAATCAAAATAAGTTCATTGCCACACGAAAATTTCGGAATTTTCTGCTGAAATTACTCTTTTTTTAGAGAAACTATGCTCAATCTTGTTTGTTAAACAGTATGTAAGCTGTGCATCCTACAGCAGCCGATTTTTTGCTTTTTTTGTGCGTAGTTTTCGTCAAGATCCGCCCTAAAGAGACTACTAGGAGATTCTTCTGATTCCAAATCTATTTTCACTCTTCTTTCTTACTGATGATAGAACCAGCATGTGACGTTTTAAGTATCAAAGATTTCATGACCGAAACATAATGAGACATAGCGGAACTTGCTCGTACAGTGTGTTGATTACAAAGATGCAGTGTATAAGTGAGGGGAGCTTGCGCATATCAGTATTGGTTCCTACAACCCACAGCAAAATGAACTTTCTGCTGATAAGTCTTCTGCTTTTTTCCATCCTTGGAGTAAGTCTGGGAAGGATACATTGTAAACCACATTGTACGAAAGTCTGCAAGAATCACCGTGTCAAGGTAAATGCCAATTTCATAATCAGTCGTAAATGTCAGCTCGATAGATTCTTGAGGCAGGCTCAACTGTAAATTGCGAAGATTTAGAAGATGTCTTCTCGCGGCGTTTTTCACATCAATTATTTAGAAATGCCACGGGCGTCCTCCTCGCTGTACATTCATTAATCATCCAGTGTGTCATCAAAAATGCACGCACCGAAGATGCTGAAAAAAGATGTCAAATCGGGAAGATTAAGCTGACTGAATACTCCACATCTCTGTTATTAACTTGTTGTGGCTTCTTTTCAAGAAGAAGCACAAACTATGCGCTACTACGTAGCTGCAGTCACTGATTGAATAAATATCTGTTGTTTTTTTGTACGTTCACACCAATAGACATGGTTCTTAGGGGAGGTGCTAGTCATAGGCCCATAGTAAAGCTCGATCAGTTCAGGTGAACTGAACTTATCCTATCAGTTCACCTCACTTCAGGTGAACTGATGACCGCTCACCCTCCCACGCTATAAGAATGGCGAGTGAACTGATAGCTGACCATCTGTCCACCTGCTGCAGTCAACTCTTCCACATCAGTTCACGTTCAAGTGATGGTGGACAGATGGTGAACGTGAACTGATGTTAGAATGATGCAAATAGTGTGTAAAAGAGGAGACGCAGACAAGACTCCCGTAAGTTGCTCCTGGGTAACTTACGATACACATCAGTTAGGCTAAAAATGCAAACAAAATTGGCGCAAAACTGCACAACCGCGCCCGAAAAGGAGAGGATCGATGAACAGCTGATTTTGGCGAGGATAACAAAAAAACAAATTCTTCTATTTTCTTATAAACCTTACTGGTTTTTTTCACTAGCTGTCCAAAACAAGAACTCATTTATTCAATTCATTGAATTCACGCTGCAACCATTTCGTTTTTTCATGAAATTTTCGTCACAAATTGTGTTTTTGTTTTATCCGTGCACGCGTGTAATTCCAATCGCTTACCCGTTTGACCAAACCAGCTCAAGAAGTTCTTTTTTCAAGAACGCACTCGCTTGTAACGCCTCGGAAGCGATCCGCATCCAGATCAATGGCTCGCCGGATGCTAGACTGAGGCGTGATGAGATCAACGCCGGCCCGCGTCGAGAGAGATACTTTGATGGGAGATTTACTACGGGCCATAGTTGAAACGACCGAAAAATTTCGTCGAAAGAACGAATATTGAATGATCGGTTTCTGAAAATTCGAACAAACGAATATTATTATCTTTGTTTTTGGTGCTTCTCACTAATAAATTGTTCTCTTTTATCTGTTTCCCCTAGACGTTTGGCCTTAACGAATTAGATTTCTTCTTCTCTAAACAAGCTAAACATCGGTGTTTTTATACAAAGTACTCTTAAATCCTTCGCACTTCAGCGTTTCCGTAGGATTGCCGGCGACCGCAAGCAACACGATATCGTTAGACCTAAGGCATAGCTCCCGCGATTTCGTCTAATCGCTACTTCCAAGAGACTTGGCGATTTGCCAGATTATTCAGATTAACCGTGTGCAGGTCTCAGGTGCATAGGCGCGTAATTTCTGTAAATCGTCGCAGAAGCATCAAGTCTGGCGCAAGCATAACGCGCTTACGACTAATCTTGAAAATCGTTGCAGTGCCGGATCGCGCAGCGACTAGAATCACGTGAGGTAAGCCTAAGGCAAGGGACATACCTCAAGCGATTTCAGTCGCCACGCGATCTGGCAATTTGCCAGATGTCTTCAAATTCAATACTGGTAGACCTCAAATGCACAGCATGTATAACTTTCGTAGGTTGATAAAATGCCCCATCTTCCGCACATTCAGGAACCCCGTAGGATGAGTTATGGACATTTGGAGTATTGCCAAATCGTGTGGCGACTGAAATCGCGTGAGGTATGCCCAAGGCCTAAGGCCTTAAATTAAGTTTTGCCATAATCGCTGCGATCATCGCTGAGGAACTATGCCCTAGCAGATAACGGCCAGCGATCGGTCCCGCCGGACAGCTAGCATAGCCGGCCGCGAGGGCTCGAGCCGCTAGAGCTGTGGCAGCCACATTAAGACAAGCTGTACCCGATACCTAATTGTATTGCGTGCTTAGCACATCTACGCTTTGCAAAATCAAATTTATAATTGTGTCGTCATGCTGTAGATTATTGAATCCGATTCGAACGTTAATTTCAGCTATTCTTTCAATTACATCTTGCTAACAAATTGCAAAATGTTTGTTTCTGTTTCTGTAAACATGTTTCTGTAAACCCACACCTTGCCTCTTCTTGCGCAAATACATATTTTGAATTTCGAACCTCTGCTAGCTGCAAGACTTAACCATCGACTTAACTGGCCTCGTATGCCATTGTAGCCCTTTCAATGGTCTTGCAGTAATTTTTTTTATGAAGATTATAAATTAAAAAATGATAGGAAGTTGAACGTCATAAATATTTTTTATCAATACAACACAGAATTTGCACATGCGTGATTTAGATACATATTACATTGTATACATCGATCGGAATACAGGAAAAAAAGAAATGAGAGCAAGAGAACGAGGATCCTTTTTTTTTTCAAGAAAAATAAATTTTAGTCAGTCACCAAATCTCACGAATATTGTTAAAACGTTATGGTCAATGCGAGCAGCCCTTTTTTCCTTTTTTTCTTCTCGGAACCTGTTGTGCCAGTCTCAACATGCATTAATTTCCAGTATTTACGGTGCAACCTGCGCGTTTATTAGAATTCGCCTCTCAGTGAACTTGGTAGTGCTGAAAAGTAGATGAGCAGTAGCAGATTACTTTACACACTTCTTTTGTTAGCATTCCACTTTATGTGAGGTAATTGCTCCCCTGAAACGGGTGAAAAGAATGGCGCAACTAGTTAACATTTGAAACCTGGTTTTGAGACTGTCTAGAGATTTCTAGACATTTCTGTCATTTCCGTACGTCCTGAGCTTGAGCAGAGGTAGATCTCATACAAAAGAGCTATAGACTGCTAATAGAGCAGACGCTGACAAACTTATAACTTGAAAGGATCTAGAATAATTTATGTACCACTGCTTTGTCTTTCCAGTGCTCCCTCTTTTGAAAAAACAAACTTTGATAGACTAGCAGAAATAGCGGTAGGTTGCATCGAAAATGTTGACAATTGTGCAGTGTATTATATACAAAATTTTGAAAACATAACCGGTCACAAGATGGAGAAGCTATTCGGGCAAAGAAAACACTTTTGGCCTGTAAGATTTGGCAACTGGTGAAAAAACAAAATACTAAGGTTCAGAATATATTAGCTGCACAATTTTAGGGTCAAGATTGAGTTCTAATCGTAATCATCCGGAATGTTCAAGAACGTTCCAATGGTAGGGAAATGAACGGCACTGAATCCGTCTGTACCACCAGTTCCAGCTGCAGGCACAGCCCAATGAGCACCCCAAGCTATCTGCAAGATCAGAATTCAAGTATTATAGTGTACGTGATTACATTTAGTTAACAAGTCACCTGTCCATTCAGCCAATCCACCCCCACTGATCGAGGTGCATAGTAGAATTTGTTGGCATGGTCACGATTATGAGGATCGTCAGGATTCGGTTCCCATAGACCTTTAACCAGTACGCAATAACTAGCTTTTTGAACTTTGCCATCTTACCGGGTTTGACGAAAGGACTGCGACTCCTTGGTCGATGCAAAACACCAGCGCTGTCGGTCAAACCGTCAAATTTCTAAAACTTTGCAACTTTAAACTGAATCGGAAGTACAGACAAAATCACCTTGAAAGCATTGTCGCTTGCACCATATGCAGCTTCTGACGGAACTACCGGAATGTTTTTAGATTGATGAGCGCTTAAATAGTAAGAAGCAAGTAATGTCCAGTATTCCTGGCCAAGGATTAGAGTTAGCGCCAATTACCGCGGTCGTGGACCTGCGCCGTCTCGAGTCCCGTCCTCTGTTCCATCGCTTGGGCCTGACAGAAGCTTAGCTGGATCCCGAACAATTTTTACAGGTTCAGAAGTAAGCGAATTGATGGCTCTGAAATCTTTTGGACAATAACTGAAGTATAAAGTATTGTGCTACATTGTCCTTCGAAAATCTTCAGGGATTTTGCTCGAAGAAGCGCCAGAAAAGAGTAAAAGTTCCTTTGTGATCAAGTTATTGGACACATCCAGTCAGCGGTAGAGGATTGATGGCTCATCTTACAAGGGAGGGATACTTGGTCGAAGTGACATTTCTACGTGAAACGTAACTATGTTATAGAGCATGCAATGCTGATTTAAATCTGCTTTACTTATCTGCAAAGCGCTTCTGGGAGGAGAGTTACGAAAAATTTTCTATACAAAATCTCGAAAGCGCAGCTACAATAAAAGTATTCAGAATTTTGATTCGTGAATTCAGATGGGACCATGATTACTACCAGGGCCTTTTATGCAATAAATACCTTCAATCTAACAAACTCATATCAGTCATTACTCCCTTCAAGCGCCGAAAAGATCTCAATGGCAGTTTTTACCTTAGCCAAATCATTGAATTTTTACCTCAAAAAATTTCTAGAACTCCCCAACGAAGAGCGCTTTTTCAGATAATGAAAGTAGATTTGGAATCAGCGTTTTATGCTCTTTAAGATAGTGTGCATTTCATATGAAAACGCCACTTCGACCAAGTATCCTTCCCTTGTTAGATTAAAATTGGTTTGTGAATTCAAAAGATGGACAATTCTTATCGCTGCTACTGATCCAGAGGTTTGCCCACATTGCGACTTGGGGTCAAACTTTCAAACATACAAAGAAAAAACGCGCTTCTGAGCTTTGACCAGAGCTGCACGTATGCCAGCGCCGTGCCAGCGCCCAAGAGGACGATATTGGTCGGTCCAGCACGGCGATGGCACGGAGACTCTGGACTCAACCATTTATCTTTTTCTCACAACTAACAAACTACAAGCACAGAAAAAGTTCGCACCTGAGCGCACGATACAACTCTCTGGTTTTAGTGTCTGATTGTGTTTTGTGGGAATGGCGGTGAGTAGAAAACGTCCTTGATCTGCTTCTTCGTTCACGATGTCTTCTCCGCTTTCTTGCTGACTTACTGTAATTATAAATGTATGATTAGACACTTACTGAGTCTTTCTCGAAAAAATACGAAATTTTACCTTTCTTGCGTAGAAGCGCTTTCTAGGTAATCTCGTACGACAGACTTCGGTAATGGTGGAGGTAGGGCATGTGTAATAGAAGAATGGACCACGGGCTGAAGGCGTTGGACACTGTAGAAGCAAACATAAAGCTCACTGATGGCAGGTTTAGCACAACTTTTGGTAAAATTCTTGTATTCTTCTTGGAGGTTTTTCAACTTTCGACTCGTGTGATAAAAAATCAGCACTAGCGGTCCCAAGATTCCCCGCCCCGAGGTGGGGGGGGGGAGAAAAGTACAAGAATTTTTTCCAAATTTTTTCAGTTGTAGAGCTAAATAAAAAGCAAAAAATTCCATTTTCTCTCTTCTCAAAATTCCAGTCTTCCTTTTTTCTCAATGTCTGAATAGACACATTGAAGTTTTGAAGTGTTTCAGCGGAATACGGTTGGGTCATTCTGTGGCATGGATTGGTGTCAGCGGCGGACCGAGCCTCCCCACTCCCCCTCCTCCGAACGGAAAAATGGATGAGAATGGGTCGTGAAAATTCTGAAAGTTACTTACATGGGTCATAACAATGGCGAGACCCGAGACACACCCGTAAAATTTCAGGAAAGCACTATTTGTCTCCCACCCCCCGAACTTAAGTCCTAGGACCGCTGCTGATTGGAGCCCATATTTCTTAGTGGTTTTGGATTTGTTGCGCCCTGTACAAGTTCGCCTTTTGGAGATACTCAGCAGTACGCTATAGGTTCGGCAGCGAAGTACGCTTTGCTTTATTGAAAACTAGTTGGCAAACCCGGCTCCGCCCGGGCCTGTCAATAATATATTTGTAATCAGCATGCTTGATTACCCCCCTGTGCCAACTCCCAGCCCTGTAGCTCAAATTTTGCAAAAAATCGATAAAATCGATATCGATCGATAACGAAAAGTAGCCTGCACGCTCCTTGCCCCGAAGTATATGTGCGCCAAGTTTGGTCCAAATCGGTTCAGAAATAAAGATTTCTATTCCGCACATACATACATACAGACAGACACACATTCAGCTTTATATATAAGATAGAGAATTTGATAAAAAGGGTTATGAATGAGAATGTTAAGAAGGGGAGATGCTTCATAATTCAAGATCAGTTTCCTCTTTGAGCAAATTTGAGTAGTCGATGTCTATTTTCTTATGCTCGCAGTATCTCAAAACTAAAGATCGTTAATAAAATTGAGACCAACCCTCTGGAGTATTGCTCTCTATAAGATCCCCTAGCCTCCCTGGAAGGAAGATGTGGAGCGTATGCAGGTGTAAGGACAGGAGGTGCAGGAAGAGGAACGGGATTGTTAAGGTATGGTCCAGCTGAAAAAAAATGGAAGCATCTACCTAATTTACGCAATTGGTTCATCAAGCACTTACCAAGCTTCTTTCCTTTTTCTGCTTTTGAGTAAATATACTGCGACGAATAATGGTACTGTTCATACTTCGGACAGCCGTGATACCAGAGTCTGAAGCAGAGCAAATCTTGAGGGGTTAACAAACATCAGTATCTACCTGCATGTATTCAGGAACAGAGGCAACGGTGGAGGATTGCAGAATTTCTGCACAGCAGGATAGATGTAATCGCACTTACATTCTGGAGTACAGTGAGGAAAAATGCGCTGGTCGCAATCCGGTTTGCAAGGAAACCTGCGCTAAAATCACATTTGATCTTTTATAGTCTGTGAGCCTTGTGGCTATCTAGCACATTTGATGTACTTTCTTACATTCAATTGAAGCAAAGAAATAGTATAAGAATCATTTATGCACAATATTTGAAAACTTCAAATGACTTGAAGGAATTCTTTCTAGAAACTTCCAATTTTACTTGCAGAAGTGTTCACTGACTATTCAACTAATATGTTTGCGAAGTATCACACCTATTACATCCGCACTGGAAAGGAAAAAGGAGATGCAAAAAATGCAGCTTATGTGTTGTAAACTAGAGGATGATTCGTCTTTCTGAGGCTTGATCTAATTCATTGTGGATAACTTCATACCAGTGGCGTACCGAGGTTGGGGGCGCGCCCGGGTCTCGAAATTTTTGAAACTTACTTACATGAGTTATAAAAATGTGCAAGTGACTTGTTTATACTCGTAAGCAATTAAGATCATTTTAAAAAATCTTTCAAAAAATTCAACTTAGCCCTTAAAAAAAATTTTATTTCGACCACGCCCCCTTTTTCTAACATCTTAGGGTCATGGGCCCGCTAACACTTTGCGAAGCATGCCAAAAATCTTTTCTGGGCGTCCCCCCCCCGAACAGAAATTCTGGGTACGCCACTGCTCTATACTAATAGACCAATTAAAATCAAGGTCCTATTTCAAAAGCCCAGTAGACGTGATGTATAGGAGTTGCCAACCACTAGTCAGAATGCGCTTTTTTTTTGCCCTCGTATCGTGCATTTGAGTGCATTGATTTACATTGTAATCTAGGAAAGAATGGCCATCCAGGCGAAGATAATGACAACTACTTGTTGAGTAGGTCAGCCTTGAAGGCAGCGTTGAGCAAACCTAACCTCCTCCGATTAGTACCTATTCTGGATGTAGGCCCCAGGAGAGCGGCTTCTGCGTTAGTCCGATTCAATGTTGTTTCTGAATGGGATGGAACCGCAGTGCTATCAAACCACGCTTGAACCCTTCAAGCTCCGCCCACCCAGGTAGTGAAAACCGTCTGGGTCTTTCTATGTGGACTTCCAGAAATCGAGTTTTCTGGGATTTCGCACATTTTGCACTTCATAACTATACCACGGAAACCACGGAAAAGCCCCAGAATGACAGAAATATGGAAGGCAAAAATTTTGAGGACGACTTTAAAGCTCAATAAGCTTTTCTTTTACGACCCAATTTTTAATCAATAAAGAGTATCGCTTACAGATGTAAAACTATTTATAAGCTTATTGACTATCGCAGATGTATCTTCCTCTCCGTATTGATCCTTTCCGTATTCAGCAAAACGTAATCTACAGCACCTCGGAGTTATTGTCAACATGAAGGTTAAGTAAAATTGCCCTATTTTTCAAGAAGTGAATATGTAACGCTTTACGGCATTTCGGTAGAGTGTACCTTGGCAATCATGCCGCGTAATCTTCTAAAGGTAGATTTGAACCTTAGAATTTTTTTCATAAACGACGCGCAAGTGTGCTGAATAAATGAAGAACGAGCAGCAAGAAAAGGGAGGATAAATTTTTCACCTTGATTTCGCTGTAGTATGCTTCTTTCCTCTCCGCTTCTTCCTCTTCACTAGTCAATCTTTCTTCTGAGCTCTCGTACTCTTCAGAGGAGATAACTGGTGCTCGGAAAGCAGTCTTTTTGGTGAATGGATTGCTTGGATTGCTCGGCAATTCCGATGAAGCGATGGATGCACTGTAATAATCCCGAGTAGATTCCGAAAGCACCTTTTTATTCAGCTGAATGCGCTGAGAAAAGAAGAAATTACGTGATTGATTTGTGAGGGCAAGCTTTCTTGTAAGAAGGGCAGAACTTGGCAATAGTCTGAAATTATTTGTTGCGACAGATGTGCGGTCAGCAACACTGTATCAAACAACCTTTTGGTTCTCCCCACCGCGATCACTCTCGCCTATGCAGTAGAACGAAAAATGCTGCTCGTAAGAGTCGCAGTATCCTTCGCTAGGTGCTCGGGTTCGGTTGAGATGCTCATCTGTTTCTTCAGTATCTGAATCACCAAAAGCCTATCACATCATATATCTGTTACTCCGTTATCCGGACTCATCCAGAGAAGCCAGCAATGACGAAAAAAAATTTCTTCCTCTGTATCTCCGTTATGCGAATTTAGCAAAGAATCCATTTTTGTTGATGTCGTTGTTCATTTCTGAGTCACTTAACAATTTGCGACAACACGACCCAACGGTGGGTCGTACGTATGCTGGACAATAAACCGGTGGGTCGCATGCTTTCTGAAGTGCCTGCTTCTGCTAGTTCACCATAAAACTTCTTGAGCAAAGTGGATATCTATGTACATCTCTTGGAATACTTCCGAAACATTGGCACTAGATCTTAGCAAACATCAGTGGCCAGAAAATGTTACGCAAACTATATTACGAAAAATATGCTCTGGTCCGAAATGGCAATAACCGAAAAATGGCCTTGTCGTGAATGTGTTGAATAAGAAAAGGGTTGGATATTGATTAGAACCGGGATAAATTCACAAAACTCTTGTAAAGACCTGTCAGACTTGAGAAATGAACTGCTAATTTTTTTCACACATAGCAGGAGGTTGGTATCTACTTCTTCCCGTGAAGTTAGGACTAAAATTGGTTCAATAAAAAAAGCAATATTCTTTTATGAAGAAATGGGTCTTGATAACGGAAAAGTACTTCAGAATTACTTCAACAATGAAGGTAAAGTGTAAATACAGTTTTTTAAAGCTGTTAACCAAGATTGGTAGCAAGACTTTATTGTACGAAAAGCAGTCTTGCTACCAACCTTGGTTAACAGCTTCAAAAAAATGTATTTACAATTTGAACCACAATGCCAAGGTTTATCGACAATCGAGCACGAAGTCTTGTAAATGAAGGTAAAGCTTTGTATGACCTGGCTTAGAAAGACAGAGAACTCTGTAATTACCTTCGTGACCTTCTTTTTCTTTAAGCTTCCTGTCGGAACCGTCATGCTCCTCTATGAACTGAAAGGTCAGTTAATAATTGACAATATCAACTATCAGCAAAAAATGACTTTCTGAAAACAACATTGGAAGATTAACGCTAGACGCTGTGAACATATTTTGAGAGCTTGAAAATTTTCAGGTGTTAATGATCTAACGAGTATGCATTAGTTACAAACCTTCGTACTGAACCCTGGACCCTCATGCAGCACTGCTCCTTTTAAGCGCAAAAAAGATCACACTGCTCCTTTTAAGCGCAAAAAAGATCATAACCATTGCTTATACATAGATTCTGTGTCCATTTTTTGCTCCAAAAAGCACTCATAGCTCGTAATCCAAGGGTGCTTGGCAGATAATAAGAACAAATTTGGAATCAGCGTTCAGTGCTCTTCAAAATTGTAAAGAAGTCTCGGAAATGCCACTCGATTAAATAGGATTCCCTTAAAAGTAGTCTGCTTTTATGTTTACATATCAAATCAGTAATCCTTATAGCACAAAAAAATTTGGAAAGTGAACAAAACTACTTTTTTTCAGAAGGTAGACATACTAGCCTAAGTCTCCGCGCATACCTCATGCGATTCTTGCCATGGCAACACTCTAAGGCCCTAAGGCATACGCGATTTGACTAAATTCACGTTCACGCGACCTGGCAGTTTGCCAGGCGTCTCCATTATCGTGCGCGATCCTCCAATACATGGGCGTGGAGCTTCTGCAACTTGTTGCGAACCGATCAAGTCCTGCCTTGAAAACGCGCTCTGACGAACAATCATGAACCGGTGCCAAATCGTGCAGCGTGGAATCGCATGAAGTATGCCTTAGGCCTGACTGGTAGAATATATAAGCTCTGGAGAAATGATGATGATGGTGACAGGGTTCTTCTCGGTGCCATGGCAGCATGCGTACCGACTCACAAATTTCCGCTAAGAAGGCCGCGATGGTCAACCGAAGTCAATTCATCCGCTATGCTCTAACAAGGGACAACCGCATCGCTGATATGCTCGCACAACTCCGCCCTCGCAATCTTTGAGCAGATGATAATCTATGCTCCATAGGGAAAGGTAATATCCGTGATGTGTACGAAAATCAGAGTCTCACACATGTGAACAGTGTTGAACGGATAACCTACGCCTTCCTCTTTGATCTCCACATCGCTGTCGCCTTCTCTTTCGCGTAGATCAGAATCGCTGTGGGATACATGCTGCGCGAGTTCCTCTGCCTTTTTCATAGTGTTTACCGCTTCGGTAAAAGGATCTCTTTTATACCTACAATGAGTATGTTCTGTTTGATTTGTCCTACTGCAACACATATCGTCGAATTATTTGTAACTAAATATACGTATGTGCGCGCTACTTCACGACTTGTAAGAACCGAAGCTGTTTCCCTCAAAATTTCTCTTATACTCCTACATAATTTGGTATGATTGAATATGTAATAGGTATTAGTACACATTTTTTAGTTCGTTTCGTCAAAAAAGGTTTTACAGACGTTATTAGACGTTATTAGTAGGGAGTCGTCGGTACCGCGAGCATTATACAGGCGTACATAATTGAGTTACAAATGACTCGCGCGTACCTCTCAACAGCATCAGCAATTTGCACTAGCAGGTCATGGTCTTGTTCGGAAAGGGGCTGGTCCTGAGCTGAAACAGAGCTTAAGTGCGTATGTTTTCTCGTTTATTAAGAAAACATCGTTTTTGGTCCCCTAACCCTAAGGGAAGTGAGCAGTGGTACCTCTCTTTCCCTCTCTGTTGTGCTGTTTCTCTCCAAGAATCTTCATCCTTTCGGCGAGTATCTTTCGTTGAACATCACGATCTCCATTAGAATAGTTCTGGAATGGTAACCTTAATAATTTACATTTCCCATGACATCAGTGATCGTACTTGGGGAAATTAAGGTCAGATACCTTGCGTAGATTGAATATAAGGTCATTCTTTACCTAGGATACATCTTGGGCTCAAAATAAAGTTAACGAAACAAGTTTGGGAGGAATGAGACGCTTTTTACTTATATAATGACCGCCAATTTGTTAGAGCGTTCTCAAGGCTTTGCTTCAAATGTTCTAATGCGCAAAAAACGTTATGAGAGCGACGGAGTAAAGCAATTGAGGGGTATTTTATATGTGCGAAGAAAATAATCTCATGTAGCAGTAGAATAATTGCAGCTGAAGGTGCATGAAGATTTTCAAAGTTTTTGCAGCCCATAGCCCCGAAAGTTGAAAAAAGGTGACGTAACGACAGCTACAGCCACGAGAAAAGTTTGTTGTAAAGCTTGTTTGGATTTTTGAAATATTTTGAAGGTTGTTCAATTATTTATATCAAAAACAAGTCCATTGCGCAATTCATAACTCTGCATTCTGCGTATAAATCTCGCAACCACTACCGTAAAACAATTGAAAAGTTGCATTTTCATCCTTAAGTTGAAAAAAATTCGTCACGAAATTCATGCGTGCTGTCATTCGCTTCATTGTCGCGTTTTTCTCTAGTTTTCAATGTGTTTTTTACGTATTCTTGTTTGCTGATGTTTTCTGTGTTTTTACTATGGTCATAAAGTTCTTTCTATCTCAAATCTACTCCAAATCTCTAGCATTCAAGGGCTCTTTAAATAGATAGACTGATAGATAAATCCACTTTGTACCTGTTTGTCACAATGCTATCATATGTTATACACTCTTAAGCACAAGAATTGAAATAACGAAATAACAGTTTCAGCGTAAATTAGTGATAACTGTTGTCATGGTCTGCGTATTGATTTCCTGGCTAAGTTTGGCTGTTACAGTACTGCCAGCATCTCGCATTTACCCGTCATCCGTCAAGAATCATGCTCGTCAAAACAGCATAGCTTGGGACTATAATCTTCAAAGACGGCTGCGGTATCATTACGTCTTATTACGATTTTCTTACGGGGAACTTATGGTTATATCATCTTATATCATCGCTCAACGACCTTGCGATATTTTCTGATAGTGGAGAAGCTTCCCTGGCTGAGGCGCCTATACCTCAGCCAGGGAAGCTGGCTGAGGTATAGGCCTTTCTGCTGTTTGCAGAATGATCTCTGCTGCAGAAAAAAACACTTTTGTTATCTTTTGCGTCTAAAACCAGCCTTAGTCACCGGCATATGCAGATGATTTTAGCATAGAAACTTTGAAGAAGGGAGCATTAAGCTAGAAATTACCTGAGCAGAGAGCTGAATAAAGTAAGATTTTCATTTTTTTTCTACAAGTACGCAAGCTTAAAGAGGTCTTAATTCTTCGAGGAGTGAGTTAGGTTTTAGCCTGTCATTCCATTTCTCTGCTGAACAACATTATATTTTTTATGAAACCCCAAATGTGGCTGGCATTTTTGAATGCAAATCATGCCTTTTTTTCATTACAACAATATTTTTGACAATTTTAATAACGCCAATCTTGATTCAAGCGAAATGTAACGTTGTACATGGTGTCCCAAAAAATGTGCTATTGTTCTTTGTTGAAAACTCTCGCATCATTAAGTCTTTCGAGAAGCTTTACTTACCATTTTATAGAGTTGGCTTTGAGTAAGAAATAGAGCATAGAGCCAATCACCGATTGGTCTTCTTTAATGCAGGATTACGGTTGGAACTTCCGGCATATGGTGCCACTGTGTAAAAGCTGCCATTTCAAGTAATTACCCTAAAATCCCGCAGATAAGTCCGCCTTTTTGACACGAAAAATCTATGAAAAATCGCGTTTTAAGGCGATTTTAGGCGATTTTTTTGCGGACTTATCTGCGGGGTTTTAGGGTACAAAAAACCTATGTAATACGATTTTCATGAACGCTGAGTTATTTCAACTTTGCACAAAATGCAGCTTTCTAAACAGTGTAACCACATTTTCTAGGAACATCGGAATAATGGCTGCAGCTACTTACCTGGCACAATCTTTTAGGCCTCGGGCAGAGTTCACGCGATTTTTGCCGCGATTTCCCAACAAGACAAACAGTAACGAGTCCATTGCATTCCGACCATTCATTTCGGTTGTGATAGTTTCCCAACACGACCAATCGTGACTAACTATCACAAACTAGGTGCAAGATGATCGGAATGCAATGGACTCGTTACTGTTTGTCTTGTTGGGAAATCGCGGCGATGAAATCGCATGAACTCTGCTCGAGGCCTCAAGGGCAGCGTCCGAGCGGATTTGGACACTTTCGAATAATCATAACCGAGTATTACGGCCTTGATCTAGAACTACTGCGCAAATCCGACTTTCAAACACCCACTACAAAAGGAGGAAATCGGAGCAGAAAAGGCCGAGCCTCGAGAACCACGCCCATTCCTTCGCACGGTCCGCCCCTTGAACGAACTCTCCCCGCCCTTGACGTGTTTTCACGTGGCAAACGCAATCGACAATAGTGTCTATCTGTTAATGCTTGCTTTCAATAAAAATTGCGTCAGAGGCACTCGTCCACAGTTCTTGCAAAATTGTCTCAAAATGGGGTTTTTTGAGGAATTCACGCATCGTAACTGCCACATTTAGAATCAGCGCCATGAAAAGGCCTGGATAAGGCAAAAAAAAGAAGCCGAGATTCTGCCTGAACGCGGCCTTTAAGGAAGCATTATGCTAACAATAAGATGCAAATATGCATACTTTGTATCAGTAACTCTAATTAGCCTAATGTGAGAGTCTTCAAGTCAAGTGTTTTCTTTGGAGGCAAAATGTGGCCCTCCGTGACTCAAATCTCTTCGAAGTTATTCGGTAATTCTATAGTAATGGTAATCTGCTCTAAACTATAGATACAAGCTGGAGCCAGCTCTACAAACCTTAGAGCCTATCCAAAGATTTTATATAAGAAATTATTAGCAATCGAAAATTGCACATTTTGGACACGTGTGAAGTAAGTAGAGGCACACAGCAATTTTCAAACAAAGCCTTCTTGAATCTATTTTGAAACTGAATGGACGTAAAATGCAAACTTACTTCACAGTAGGATAGGCTGGGATTTCGCTCACAAGCGATACGAACAACGTCCGAAGTGGAGGCTTAAAATAGCGTCTTAGATGGAATCAAATTTTTCAAAATTGATTATAATCGGGTACCCTACAGGATCGGGGTGAAAACCTCAGAAGTAAATTTCTGTATCAATTAGTCAAAACTAGATTACCTGCGGAGCAAACTAGCGAGAGACCAATCAAACATCCCCAAATCATTGGGTTGCAGTTTGAACTGCGCGAACCACTGGGTAATTTCTAAATAGCAAGGAAGTATTGTACTAATCAAGGATCAGAGGACTGCAGCAAGATTATCGTAGCTAAGCGGCAAAAAGGATGGGTATGAGTGGACACCGGTCGAGTTTGCGCAACTCAAGGACGCACCAGACATCATGGCTTACACCCTTATCACCCAAACAAGAATAGGCAAGAGAGAAAGTCGCAAAATCGAAAGCGATCATGCCTTTGCCGAGGTGCCACTCATACGATTAGCGCCTAAATCTGCCAAGCATCGAAAGATCAAGGAGAGGACAGAAGCAGCGAACCTTTAGCTACCCATTTTCGTACTGATCAGGACTCGGCACAGATGGCTTATAAGCAAGCTTAATATCGTTTTTGGGACAAAAAGCGAAGGGAGTTTCGTTTTTGTGGCCGAAGAGACACAAAATTTGCGACGCTTTCTTAATCGACGTTTCGTTTTTTGGAGATTTTTTAGGATTATGGTCTAGGGTCAAAGGGGACTTCGTAAAAATTCGCGAAAGTTGAGGGGAACTTCGTTTTTTGCATTTTCAACTAGCCACCTCGTGCCGAGCCTTTGTACTGATATCACCACCTTGCCGACATGAAAAAAGGAGAATTTTTTTCCAAAACCTCGTTTCCAACAATTCGTAACTCCCTTCAATGTATGTCATTATAGTCGTTAAATATTCTCTCACGTAGCGGCAAGATCGTGGTATGAATGCGAATAAAAAGGGATTGAAGGAGGATCTGCGAGAAGAAAAGATAAGGACCTAAAATCGTTATCTTCTTTTCCCAGCCTTTTCAGTGGACCTCAAAGTTTCTAGTTGTGAAATTTTCCAATTTTCTGTGCATAAACAGCTAATTTTTCTTGCAAAAACATTTAACGAGATGTCCTAGCTCCACAGTCACAAAAATGAGCGAAGTTCTGGCAACTTTTTCCTTTAGAAGAGATGCATGTGCCATAAGATGACTGCAACGACTGAATTCAAAAAACACAAGTATGACTAATGTGGGATCTCTTTTATATTATTTATTATTTTTACAGTGACAAAATTTTCAAAAGAACCCTCATTTGCTCTTGAACTCCATCTAAATATATGCAATGAAATTCAGCTTTGAGTGTCGCTAACTAAAACTCTATATTTTTTGAAAAGAAAGGGTTAGAATACAGCATTAAAGGAGCTTCTCAACCATACCCAAAATTTGGTTCAAAAAATTGCCCGGAAAAAAGACCTATAGCGGAAATTTTGCATCAACCTAACATTAGACCCACACGGGATATATGGTGATAGACGCTGATGTCATCCATTGCGGGCGGCCATCGCTTCCTTTTATAAATTGTGAGCGAGTTTGTAGCTTTCCATTTTTTTTGCAAGTATCGTTGGAAAAGCTTGGTGCCAGATCAATTTAGCTCTTGTTTTTCATTCGATATTGAAGTTAGGTCGGCTTTGTTAGGAGGCCATCAGAAAGGTGTGTACAATCTGTTACTGGTAACAGCTTTTAAGAGACGCACCCTTCCTAAATAATGTTATACCAATGCGATACCGTGGAGAAAAGACTTTTTCAGCAAGGCGTCTATATACCAAAACATTTATTCGCGTAAATAATACATTATGACAATTTTAGCAAACTTTACTCTACTGCTACTCTTTACTAGACATAAAGTGGAGATACTACCAAATCGCGTAGGGAACCAACTGTATGAACACGATCTTTACTTGTATTTGAGAAACATAGCCACTACCAAACTAAGGATGAGTCCAGAAAGAGCAAAGAGAGCATAGGCGGTCAGCTTACTGAAGAAGTAGCTCCTTTCCTCCGGTACTCTGAGGCATGGTATGCGACTGAAACTTTTTTGATGTTTTGCCATGAAAAAAATTACGGATAAAAAGTGAAGCATTAGCATTTTATGCACTGACATAGGCTGACCAGCATTCTTCATTTTTTCAAACTCTTTTTGGCGACGAAGAAGCAACATGTTCCGAGCCTAGAACCATATGAGAGATATAGCATGCACTATGGTGAGCCTGGACTTACCTCAGTGAGGTTTTTTACTCGTGCTACAACATTGCCATCAGCATAGTAAATTCTTGAAGATGACAGTTGATAAAGCTGTAAATGATTATACGATTTTGATCATTTGATCACAACAGATCACCTACCGTGGTGACAGTATCTTGAACGGTGATTCCAACAAGAAAACGTGATGGTATCTCACACCCGAACTGATTGCATACGGAACGGAAACGGAGCTTTACGAGCCCCTCATCTAGAGGAGGGACGAATTCGGTGTGAATGCAATCTTCGAAGACGTCTCTTATCGTTTTCTTCGCCTGTGGAGATAGATCGCAGCCAACTATCTGAAACTAATAAAATATACAAATTCTTATATATAAAGCTGAATGTCTGTTTGTATGTATGTATGTATGTATGTCTGTCTGTCTGTACGTATGTTCCGAATAGAAAATTCCATTTCTGAACCGATCCGGACCAAACTTGGCACACATACACTTCGGGCCCCGGCGGGTGTCATAGGCTACTCTTCGTTATCGATCGATATCGATTTTATCGATTTTTATCGATTTTTTTGCTGAGTTCACCTACGGGGCTGGGAGTTGGCACAGGGGGGTAATCGAGCATGGGGATTCCGAATACAATATTGGTTTTCAGGATTATCGATTACTTTTATCGATTTTACCGATTTTTTTGCAAAGTTTGAGCTAGGGGGCTGGGAGTTGGCACAGGGGGGTAATCGAGCATGCTGATCATCCCCAAGGGGGGTGATCAGCATGCTCGATTACACCCCTGTGCCAAATTCCAGCCCCCTAGCTCAAATTTTCAAAAAATCGATAAAATCGATAAAAGTAATGGACGATCTTGAAAACTAATATTGTATTCGGAATCCCCATGCTCGATTATCCCCCTGTGCAAACTCCCAGCCCCGCAGGTCAAACTTTACAAAAAATCGATAAAATCGATAAAAGTAATGGACGATCCTGAAAACTAATATTGTGTTCGTAATCAGCATGCTCGATTACCCCCTGTGCAAAATCCCAGCCTCGCATGTCAAAATTTACAAAAAATCGATAAAATCAATAAAAGTAATCGATAATTCTGAAAACTAATATTGTATTCGGAATCCCCATGCTCACTTCCCCCCTGTGCCAACTCCTAGCCCTGTAGGTGAACTCTGCAAAAAATCGATAAAATTCGGTTAAATCGACATCGATCGATAACGAAAAGTGGACTGTGACACCCGCCGGGGCCCGAAGTGTATGTGTGCCAAGTTTGGTCCGGATACGGCGGAGCCGGGTAAGCCAGCTAGTAATCTATAAAATCTAATAACTTACACACTTTTGAACTGTTATTTTCATCTGATGCATGAGCGTGCGAAAAGGGATTCAAATAACAAGCCAGTATACTTCAGGAAATTCGAAATTTTTCATCGAATGAATGAATCGAATGGATTCGAAAATCAAAAATACGAACAAACGAATATTAACTGAATTCTAAAAGAATACCAAAAAGATTTGAGAATCAAATATTTCGAGTGTTCTTGCAAATTGGCTCCAATCTTAGAAATTTTCTTGAACACCTAAAATCTTTTGTGGTGGGGTTTTCGATTCTTGCATGTGACTTTACATGGATAAACGTTTAGAGGGTGTAGCAGGTTCTAAGAACCTCAAAATACAGCTTTGAATATATCTGGTGACACTTACAATGTGCTTATTCTCAAAACTGCAAGTTCTAATTTACTTAGTGACAAGATCAGTTCTTTCGAAGTCCCCTTTGAAAATCTGGTTTTTACAAGCAGGATCCCTTTACGGTTCCTACCGCCCTACAGTAACGAGAAGAGTGCGAGTACGCATTATCACCACGGTTGAGCGCGGGGTCAGGTGGGCTGGATTGGGGAGTGGGGGGGGGGAAGGTCGTGATCAAGCCTCGAATTCGTTCAAAAGAAGGAAAAAATACTACGATCAAGGAAGAAGTTTGAGCTGAAAGCGATGGAGAATGTCACATGTCTGAACTGAAGGAATGACTATCGTGAACGGCATACTGGCTAACTCCACTATCGAAGTTTCTCCAGCTTTTACCTTTACACGTAAGATCACCAAAGAAGTTTGTTGTGTAATTTGGTTATTTCCGTAATTAGCATTCAACTTACCTCTACGAGCCCTACAAACCATTACCCACAATATTCTTCAGCTTCCAAAGTCTGAAAAGCCTGATTTTTAAACATGACTAAGTTGGTTGCAAAAGCGAAAGAAGTCAGCTATTTATACTCATAAACAGTAGTACTCTCTATCAGTATATGCTAAAACTTAAACTTCATATCGCTTTAAAATAATGATTTAAAAAGTACTGCCAAAATTTCAAACACCGCCTTTTTCATCTTGAGCTCTTCAACTGCACTTATCACCACCAAGCCAAAGCAATTTGAGGTAAGCTCAAACGGAGGACTCGCAGGAGGAACCAAGGGCCTAGCCGCCTGTATCCGCAGGAGATAATCAAGAGCGCGAGCACTGTGGAAAAGATTTGGCAATCCAGGAGAACTTGGCAAGAGAATCCAGAGAAAATCCTAAGAAAATAAACCTCTGTAAGTTTGCTTGGGAGAGTGTTCAAAAGATAAGTGAGGCAATTTTGAAGTTGGCGTTTCATGGCGAATATATCAAGGAGATAAACGGATGCTAAATATCATTAATTCTCAGTCAGAAACATTACATTACAATTTCTAAGAACTGCTAGAAAACTACTTGGAAGAACGCCTCATGCTCAAGTTTTAGAATGTCGATCAAGAGTTCTTGAATGTTTGAAATCCGATTTTGATAAACCTTTGGATATCAATAGAACCAAGTCGCCAGATCGTCGCGCACCCAAAGAGCTATGATAGCATATCACGTTGGAAACAAATTAAGAGTATTTCGCACTTCTCCTAGAACCAAAATAATTTTCTAAACTGTCTCAGGCAACGGATAGGACCCCTCCGCCGGAGAAATGGCAGGGTCGCGCCGTTTCCCCAGCGGTGGGTCTCCCATTTGTCCGGCGGAGACCTCCCATTTCTGCTCCGGATACCCGCCATTTTCTGCTCCGGATACCTCCCATTTTCTGCTCCGGAGGCCTCCCATTTCTGCTCCGGACCCCTCCCATTTTCTCCGGCGCGGCTCTTCCAAATCTGGCGGACTCGCGCCGGACAAATTTCTCCGGCGCGAGTCCGCCAAATCTGGCAGAGTCGCGCCGGAGAAATGGCGGACCTTTGCAGCAGGGCCGGAGAAGCCTCCCACTTGCCTGCCAGTGATGTCACCGCGACGGACCGCCCATTTGCCCCTCTCTCATTGGTCAACTGGGTCCGGCGCGACTCTGGCAGATTCGGACTGTCCGGCGGAGGGGTCCCGTCAATTGTCTGAGGTGATAGTAAATCGCAAGCACCAACAAAAAGATTTTTTACGTTCTGAGTGTATACAACGTTGGAATCGAATGGTTTATGTTTAACAAATTTTGTTCAGATTTCAAACGTCAAGCACATCGTTTGAAAATTTCGGCAGGTTTGGAACCCGTGAGAAAATCTTACACTGATGTGAAAAAAATTGAATCTCAATTTTTGCCTTATCATTTTGACTAGAATCACAGTTTCAAAAAGATTTGAAAAATGCTGGACCTTGCCAGAATGTATTTCCGTGAGCTATCACATTGAACCTCAGATTTTCTGGGGCTGTTTCTGATATTTTAAATCTGAATTCTCCAGCAACTTTCCATGTAATCTCGTCTTGAAACCTGGGCATCTTTGATTGTAAGTTGATGTTCTAATATTTCTTAAGCCGCACAGGTTGGTATGGTGGAACTTTATTGACCTAACGTTTTGAACAACTCGTCTTCGTCGGAGGTGTGAAAAGGATTGTAGTTCACGTATCCGCTGTACTGTGCCGCCAAACATCTCGTCTGAGTCTGCTTCGCTTGACGTTTTCTCAGACGCAACGTACTGGGCACATCGAACGAGGGCAAACAAGCCTTCGGTCCACCAAAGAGTTAGTAGTTCGCACTAGATCAGTGTGACGGACATCACTGAGTTCTGCCCAGTGAGCCGTGCTACTTATAGTGTGCGGTATCGAGCTCACACAACGATATCAATGGCAGTAGATCACTTGTTATCGTCAGACATTCATTTGTGTTGTTCATACTTGGACTACGAGAGTATGTCCACGCCGCTTAAGGGGTCTTTCGTGCTAGAATATCAGTCTCAAACGCTAGGATGACATATTTAACGCTAAAATCATTGCCGCCGTGCTCTACAAACTTATGCTTACCTAACAGAGACAATAGGTTTCCTCGCCTCATGCTCGCCAAGTGCTCGCTTACTCTAGTACGCAAAGGTCTACCCGTTTCTCCAATGTACACTGTTTTGCAACTCAAGCATTCCAATTGGTAGACAGTTCCCGATTTAACGCAGTCCCCTATTTTCCCATAAAGACAGATTATGCAATCCTTTTCACGTGAACTACAATCCTTTTCAGACCTCCGACGAAGACGAGTTGTTCGAAACGTTAAGTCGATAAAGTTCCACCATACCAACCTGTGCGGCATAAGAAATATTAGAACATCTCCAGCAACTGTAACAAACATTTTTTCGTTTGTCCAGTAGCCGTACTCCAGCTTTTCAGTTACCGGCTTTGAGTTTGAATTCCAGATTTCCAGCGAACGCCCAAATAAAAGAATTTTTACATTCTGAAACTATCAGTTTTTGTGTTCCTATTCTTATATTAGTGAAGATCTTAGAAAGAGCAATCCAAAACCGTTTCCGTAATTTCTCGAACACTTTCTCAAACAAAGTTACGGGGATTCGTTATTACAAGTTTTCTATAAGTTTCTTTGCCAGATAGTTCTGGATCATTGCCAAATCTTCTCCGCAGTGCCTCTTGATTATCTCCCACGGATTTGGCGGCAAGGCCTTTGGTTCCTCCTGCTACGCCGCCAGCTCAAACACCTACTGTAGAATCGTAGAGGTTTGTGCGCGAATCACGTAAGACTTGGGTGAAGAAAGTTAATGACAAATAAACTTAACGGGGTCAGACACAACTTCTCAGAAGGTCAGGCTGCCTAACTTTGGCAGCCTTGTGCCTGAGTCCCTTAACAAAAATTAGAAACTGCCCCATTATTGATATAAGTAGTAGACACATGGCTTCTTTCTGCTACATTGGAAATTTGGAGCCAAGCACCTCACCTCTAAGGAAATTAAGGCTCTTTCAATAGGCTCATTCAGCAAAATCCGCCGTCAAAACGTGTTCTTGTAAAAGGCCCTCACAGAAAATCAGACATACAGGCCTCAAACATTGCCCCTTAAGACAGGAGGATGTCCTCCAGATGTTTCTGGGGTTCCGGAATCGATGAGGAGTAAGAAGCGGTATTTAAGGCTCAGGAGGGGAAGGGGAGGGACAGGGACCGTTTGCAAAAGACTTGTGCCTTACCTCTTGCTCAACTCTGTTGGCGGGATGTGCTGCTATAGAGAAATGGCAGATGCTGTAGTTTTAACAAATAACCTCTTTATTTGAGTCCACACCAATGACAAAAGCGAGCGTACGACGAGAATTCAATGCAGCACAAATTGCTGATTGAATGTCGAATGTGGTGAGTTTACTGTGGTGCATTGGATCCCAAAACAATGTCCACACGCCTGCAGCAACCTAAAACATCACAGTGAGAAAATTCATTGGATCTCTTGTCGAAGAAAGTGAAAACAAGTGATAACTTACCTCAAACTTTGTGCCATACATATATTTCTTGTTACTGGACGACAAAAGTTTCACCAAGACTTCTTCACTTCCTTCAAAGGTACGACAGTGCTGGTCAAACTCGTTGTTTTGCAGTCATAGTTTTTATTCCAAAAGTAGTTTGCTTACCATATCCATGACCGAGAGAGCCAACTCTGCTGGTAGTTCAACAATTTTCGCCTAAATGCATATCATCCATTCAGGGGATGAGAGATTTCAAAAATGCTGTGCAAACTTTTATTCGCACTCTAATTTACTTAAATCTACATTTAGGGGAACACACGTCCAGGACGTACAAGTTTCAAATCCAATGGCCCTATTCAACAAGTCGCAGCGCATTTTCTAACGTAGGGAAGTGCCTGCCCTGTATGACTACGTAGGTCTATGTTGACTAATCATTTCTTACAGATACACAATTTTGGTTATTCAGTGAGTTGATTCTTGCCGTAAGTTGCTTCCCACTGTATGCGAAATTCTAAGACAATTCGCGAAGAATCACTAGATACCATGAATTATCGTATCAATGATGTGTTTCTAAATATGCTTCGCGCCGAGCTGAGTTGCATGGTGGGTAGCTGTGAATCCAGTGGCCGTATTCATCAACAAACACTGAGGGTAACTCTGGAGGGTCAGTTTAACCCTGGAAAGCGATTAATTCGTATTCATGAAACACGGGGTAGGCTTAACCCTGAGGGTTAAATCTACCCTTGAGGGTAAACTTTCCCCGAAAGCGATTAACCCGTATTCATCAACGAACGCTGAGGGTTAAACTAACCCTGGAGGGTAAAACTTACGTGATTCATCAGGGTTAATTTAACCCTAGCTTAGAGCAAGGTTAACTCTAGCCTCACACTTCATACAAACATTTACTCGCATCTAATAGTTTTATGGAAAACGATCAACGAGTGTTGTAGTATTTAGTATTAGCCGTTGTTATAGTATTTAGTTTCGACTTCGTTTTATTTCAGATTCGAAGTACTTGAAACACTGACTTCTAGAGAAAAAGATTTTTGGCTTTGGTGACAAATGAATGCGACGAGGAAAAATGGTTGCGCATTCCACTCTGACAAGTGCCAAAACAGAAGAAAACTTTATGATAACACGCGTTGACCCTTGAAAGAGTAGCACAAGCCCGGTATAAAACGAACTGCCCAAAAGTAGAACTTACACGGCACAGTTGCACACGTGAAAATAAACTCACGGTGTAAGATTGGATGCTGCACAAATATACTAGAGATGTATTAGGTTGTCCAGAAATTAATGCAGGTTTTGAATTCTAACCGCAATAAGTTATACACTTCTCATTTCTGAATAGGTTGCAAAGCACCATTCGATAGAGCAAAGCAAGCACAAGATGGCCAACTTGCTTTAGCAATAGCTCTGATCCACCACGAATTTCGAGTCAACAACTAAAAAGATTCAACTACCCGAAAAATTAAGGAAAATCGTAACTCTGTTCATAAAAATCCTACAAAAATTCTAACTTGCTCACGTAAACACAATCCACGTAAGGCATCTATATACGCGGTTGCCGTATTTTTTTCTATGTTAGAAATCAAGGAAACGAAAATTTTCGTACATTTGCCAAAGTGATGCTGTGTCGTCCCCACATAAATAGATGTGTACTACAAATCTGTATAAGTACAAACGTAAATTTTCAGAGGGGCAGCCAACATGAACGATAGGTTGTGCCAGCCATATGCGCTGCGTAGGTCAAATCTTTTTCAAATTCCATATTTCCGCTATGATGATATCTAGAAAATTGGAAAAAAACACTAGAAGCTCTATATGCCCTAATTCTTACTGTTCGACACAATTTTCAATCCAGTTTAGGACATACAGCTTCAAAAATTAAGACTTAATGTGAGACATATTGACAACCGTTGGAGTACAGTATGCTTATTGCCAGCTATCGTTCATCTTGGCATACACCCAATTTTCAGCTCTCTACAAGCTTTAGTTCTCGAGAAATATCGAATATAGCTTTTATTAGTCAGGTGGTCCAAACGAAAATTCAATTTTCTCGAGAACTAAAGCTTGTAAGAAGCTGAAAATCCACGTTTTTACTTCTACAGATTTGTAGTATACATCTACTTATGTGGGGACGACGCAGCATCACTTTTGCAAAAGTATGAAAATTTTTGTTTTTTGATTTCTAACAGAGGGAAAAATACGGCAATAGCGTACATATATGTCTTATATGGATAGTGTTTACGTGAGTAAGTTAGAATTTTTGTAAAATTCTTACGAACTGAATTATGATTTTTCTTGATTTTTCGGGCAATTGAATCTTTTTAGTTTTTGGCTCGAAACTCGAGGTGGATCAGAGCTGTTGTTAAATCAAGATAGCCATCTTGTAGAGCTTGCCTTGCTCTATCGAATGGCACCTTGAAAGCTATTCAGGAGTGAAAAGTGTATGACTTGTTGCGGTTGAAATTCAAAACGGACATTAATTTCCGGACAACCTAATATTATAAAAACTAGTGTTAGAAGCTTATTCGTTAGTTATACTACTGTAACAGTGAAAGAATAGAAGTATAAAGTGAATTTAGCACGTACTTAGGCATCCTCTGATGTGGGTTTGCACAGCCACGCGTAAGTGACACCTTAACCCTCCAGGGTTAGTTTAACCTTCAGGGTTCGTTGATGAATGCGGCTACAGAACTCATCCACTCCGAGGCGAGATACGTGAGGCGACACTAATGTCATCTGACTCAGGCGACTTTAGCGTCTTCTCGAATTTTTACTTTTTTGCATAAATTATGAGCGGATCGTTTTGTGTGGGTGGTCAATCTCCGAATCAGCTAGTGCAATGCACATTCATTCGATTAATCTTGCATACATAGCTTTTCTTTCGATAGACGTGAGGAGTTTGATATTTGGTTTACAAGAGCATCTGAATGCTGAAGATATTCTTCCTCCAAGCAAGTACTTGCTATTATGAGGAGTTTTCGTCTTGGTAGTTCTTTTCCATGAAATGTTCAAAAAAGTTTACATACCCATTCACAAAAATGATACTACTTGCGATTTTCCTCTGTTCTCAAAAACATAAAAGCGTTTAACAAAAAGCTGTTCTACCCGAATATGTGACTTACGTATCACTACGGTGAATGACTAGTTCTAGGGAAGAACCATAGCAGCAAAAGGACAGCAAAGAGCCTCCATACGAGGATTTTGAGCTAAAACGGTTGCTTATAGGTGCATCAGGTGGCTTAAGTACCGACGGTAACTCCTCACTCTACTGAGTTTACTCCCTAGCTACTGGACAATAGCCAGAAATGAAGATGTTTTTCTAAACTCGTGGCAGCAGGAAGCACATCCTACGTCTTTGTGCAAAAGATCAAGACTGACCCTTTCCGTTGGTAATGGAACTACTTCTCCAGTAAGAACCTTGTAATTCACGAATGCTCCGCCGCTGTTAGTTTGCCTAGAAACTAGGTCTTTTATGAAATAAATATTGAGAATCGCTCACCAAACAGCTCGGTTTTTAGGTATGCAGCGACCGAAGGCATCCACGGCGTCGTCTGATTCCTAAAGCTTTGCACTTATATGATAGTGACGCTCGTTAAGCTTACTTGTGTTGTTGCTTGTGATGTTTTGGAGGAAACATCGCTGAAAATAGTGAGTCTTATTGTTTATCACACTCAAGTACACTAAAAGTACGCACTCGATGTAAAAAAGCTCAAGTCACAGTCATGGTTCAATAAATATTCGGTTTTCAAGTGGGTGTCACTAATCCGTATACAATTTTTTGAAATCAAAACTGCTTGACAGATTGAGGAGAGAATTTAGCTGCTGTAGGCCACACGTCTTTTCCGCCAGCTGACTTCCGCCTAGGAAAAATCTCCCATGTACAGGTCATCTAACGAACAGCCACAAGTAATGCAGCCGCAACGATACGAATTAGTATCTCACCCAAGATGTGTGAATCAGAGTACTGCTTTTTTGTGTGTCTGTTTCTTATGCTTTCAAAGATAATTAGCAGCTACGGATGTTATTTATAGGCATAGTATAGCTAGAAGCCAGCCCGCGATAATAGTGTGATTGCACTGCGCAGGCCCGTCGCCGTTGGTCGCATTATATACGCCACGCCGAAGTTACCCGCGCTGCTTTTGACGCGTAATTTCAAAGCATTTGAGTGTTTGTGCACCTGTACTAACTTGTCAAAGGCAGCAAATGGGCTGCGCAGAGTACCCTATTGAAAGACTGTCTGGGTTAGAATCGCAAACTATATGCGGCACGTAACCCGCGAAAATTATCATAATTTGTGATTGCGTAACTCCACCCAAATACGAACGATAACAACAGGAATCTGATGCGAGCGTTCTCGAACGCCTTCATAGGGGGGGGGGGGCGGGAGGGGGCGGATAGGCAAAACGTCACTCATCTGTTTGCACTTTGCTCGTGATCTGAAAACGCAAGGTCATCTGTAATCAGGCCCTTATCGCTCATCGCAGTAGTCGTAGAAACATCGTCATTATCTAAGGTACACATTAAATTTATTTGATGAGCGATAAAAAGCCTACCTATCGAAGGAAAAGTTGACGGATCATTTGCGGTTGTTGGCATATAACAAACAGCGCCTCCTTGGATGTCCATCTCATCCCAACTGAAAATGTGGTATCATCTGTGACGGCTGTTTTGTAAGCAAGATAAAGCGAGAACAATAACTTTGAGCAGGAGCCGCGTCGTCCATCCATAAATGATGCTACCCTGCTCTGCGCCCTTTCCTTGCAGCAGACATGGCGAACATGTGGAAACATGCAGCAACATGTTGATCTCAAGGCTAGCAGTCATTACGTTGTTGCTAACATGTTGGCAACATGCAACAACATGTTAGTAATGTATTTGTTGCTAGCACGAAGGTCAACATGTCGTTGCCTAGCGATTATGCAAACTTAAAATAGGTACTTGAAAAATCCACTAAGCAAATGGAGTGATGGATCGGGATATCGAAATGAGCCGATCATATTTTCGGTTCACTATTCTTACTAACTAGAATGAGTTCGATTTACAAGTCACCAAAATATTATGGATGAATTTTGGAAATAAGGTGGCGAATATTGGTTCGGCTCCGTAAGTTCATAGTCCACCGCCTCTGTGCAATTTTAAAAAGGTAAGCGTTAAAGGCAAACTTCCTGCTCAACAGTGTATGGCTTGTATCTCATTATTTCTCACTGAGAATATAGCCCCTCATCATTAGAATTGGTTAGTAGCGCACCGGCGGACTAGCAGGAGTTCCCAAAGCCTCGCAGCCTTTCACTGCAGGGATACTTAGCACCTCGGGGAAACCTCGAAGGGAGATCACACCTTCACATGGCTGAAGCGTGGCTCCGCCTATTGCTCCGCCTTCTAAGCGTCATTCTGAACTGTGCGCACGCCGGGAAATTATTTGATGGACAGTGAGATTTGGTGAAAAGACTAATCTATTTTCTTCTAGGTTTTTGCAAATTTTTAAGCGAGGAATGACTGAAGCTGAATTGGCAAAATTCGAGCTATCAGTGCTAGTCGTGCATTGCGCAAAAATAAAACATACTTCCTTCAGCCACGTGTTGCTGCTCTCTTGAAAATTTTGTTATATTATTGTAGGGTTTTAAGTCAAGCGCTTCAACCTCCGAGCAATTAGAGAAAGTGTAATAAGCACCCGAGTATTCGAACATCTTTTGAGTTTTTCCAGCTTTGGCATAGTATTAAATAGCGAATTGAATTGAAGGAAACCGGAAACTTGTTCTTTTAGGTGTCGAATTTTGAGAAAGGAATTTTCTAGCCTTCCTGTAGATACGGTTATCGAAAGTTGAATGGTGAATGTCCTATAACCAGCACCTACATTCTTCGTTGTTTGTAGATCTTATAAAGGTTTTCGTACCCTGATACTAGAGAATAATGAACAACAATAGTACATTGCCTTACAATCTGAAAATTTTTATGTTCCGTGTGATCTCCTGGGAGAATTCCCGTTATTTATGTTCCCATGAACTCGACGAAATAGTAAGGTTGTAGTGAGGATCTATCATGCACTACCAATATTGACGACAAATGGAATGTGAAGGTTTCGAGTTTCTCGATAAACTCCAGTTGCGATCAGTGGTTCATCGAACATCTCACAAGGAAGGTTGGTCGAAGTGGCCTTTTGAAATGAGATTTATACTGCCCTGTAGAGCTTGGAAAGCTGATTCCAAATCTACCTTTGCTATCTGCTGCGGGCTTCTGGGCGAGGATTATGAAGGTTTTTGTGAGTGAAAAACTGAATGCAAGAGTAGGCTAAAATCAGTCATAACATTTTTTATAGGGCTTAATTGGTGGTCGGGTCACTCGGCGCAACAAATATTCTTGATTCAAATACACCAATTCGCTGCTGCCTCATTTGAACATTGGGAAAAGGTTACGACTGCTTTTACCCTATTTTTGCATTCAGATTTTTACTCACAAAAACCTTCATAATTCCTCGCCCAAAAGGCCGCAGCAGATAGCAAAGATAGATTTGGAATCAGCGTTCCAAGCTCTACAAGGCAGTATACTTCATTTCAAAAGGCCACTTCGACCGACCTTCCTTCCCTTGTCAGTATTCTGCGATTTTGAACATTTTTACCAGGGCTTGGCACAGCTGGCACCGGGTCAAGCTGGATACCGTTTTTAGGACAGAAAGCAAAGGGGATATCGTTATGTCGGTGTCCGGGGCGGAGAAGAGCTGTAAGAATGCCGCCGGCATGCTGTCCATCAAACAAACAAAGGCACTTTTTTCAGCCAAAACGCAATAGTATGACACCAAATTTGGTCTGTGCATGCGTTGGTGGATCCGAACTATGGCCCAATTTATAAAAACTTATGTGAATGAAAGCTGTGCTGAACTTCTTTCTGAATTAGCTGGCACCGTGCCAGCTGAGCTGGCACCGACTCTTTGCTCAAATAAGTTTTCATACTTTTTTACATAAAATGTATCTACACTGTAAAAGTCTACATACAAAGAAAAAACAATTTCATAATGTTCTCTTTTCAGCGTTTTATAGCCGTCTGAAAATTACTCTGTCTGCTCCGCAGTCAAAAAATAGGCTTTTCTGCTTCTCAAGATGTGAATCAACCACTTAAAAAGCTCAGAAAAGCTCTGTGATGTTCCATGAAATCAGCATGCATGAAAACCTTACTACATACTTTTACATAATCTAAAAATAATGACGGGTCTTCAAAACAGGTCAAAGGGGACTTCGTACGAAATTTTCAAGATCAAATGGGACTTCGTTTTGAAATTTCTCTGGTGCCAGTTTGCCGAGCCCTTATCTTTAGGGTAAACATGTTTAGCGGTGCTATAATATATCTGGGTAAATCTAAAGGTCGTAATGGGCTATCGAAACACTTAGTGTGAACTTCCAAAAAAAGCTATGATTGCTGTCTACAGTAAGTATTTTGTATGTCTAAGTCCCTATTTCTTGACATTGTGAGTTTCGAAACAACTTGTTTTTTGTGAAGCTTTCTATCTCTATAACGAAATAGCCTTCAGTGGGATGTAAATCAACTATCAATGGATGTAAGTACTATGTATATTTCAAGTATCCTAGGAACAAATGTGCTCTTCTGTTTATAGCCAGTGACTTCTATAAGGAGTGCCTAGGCCTTCGTCATTGTATTTAGAGGTCGGTGTCCTGAGCGGCAATGAAGTGGCTGCTACTCTTTCTAATCTGCATTCAGGTGAACCTCATTTGCTTGATAACTCTTCAAATTCGAGTGCTTTATCGAATTTGCTTTCAGGCAAAATGCATATCATCGTGCGTTTTTGACAAAGTGGAGGAGATGAGAGGTAATATTTATGACATCACTCGTGGAGACGTGAATCAGTGTCTCGCCAGGTGTTACGAGAACAAGGACTGCACTGGAATCTTATACGAGAAGGTCGGTTTTGAGCTATAGGTCAAGGGTAGCTCCCCATCGAATCTCCACCATCCAGTAAACATGCAAAAGCTGAAACCAATCATAACAAAAAATTTTCGTGCTCACCCATTGCGAACGCTGTTACGTTTGCGTGTGCTTTTTACTTGCAGCAAATCACTGTAGGAACTTTTAGTATTCGTTGACAGCAGGTTGACGCAGGAGCCGAAAAATTACGATTTATCACTTCGATGTGATGGATCTAGACGGCAATGCAGTCGTTTCACATGATCAAATGTGTCATTGCGCACATTGTCCATCTTTGCCTCCCATCCTGGATTTTGGCCCAAAAAGCGAATAAAAAATCACCATCCACTTTTTCAAGGAAGTTCGTTCCTGGGATAGATGAGGCTCCTGAAGTTATAAGGAAAAACGCTTACTTAAGAGGTAGCTATGGCCAAAAGGAAGTGTAGATCAAGGACGGCAGACAGACATTGTGTGCATCGACATATAGCCATAAAAAATGACAGAACTTTAGCTATAATGTCTCCTAACCCCAACTTAACTACGTAGAACTAATATCTGTCTAACACCCTGTCAAGCAAGCGTTGATGTTAATAGCAACATCCAAAGTCCAGGCAATGGCAAATTCAAATATATGAAGATCGACATAAAAACGGTTTTTAAGGGCTTTTTTAGAACACTGCTCAGGCGGCAACGCAAATAGTGCACTTGTGACTTTTTCATCACCAACTCAGACACCGCTACCGTAACCGGCGGACGGCTTGCATCGACTCGCATGCTATTGTGCGGGAATCCCTCACGAGGGCGCTGGGTCATGCAGTAGCATGCAAGCCGATGCAACTCACCCGTAAAATGCGGTAGCGGACCTAGGTGCCTCGACGCTAACTTTCACTAAACGTGGCCGTCTGTGAATAAATGAGTTAAAGCGAACCAGCTTGGTGTTACAATATCCAGTTTTGAAATGCGAAGCTGAGTGACAATTCATACCGTAGCTTTCCTGAAGCAACACCTCACTCAAAGTATAGGTCAAATAGGTACATAGCAAAGAGGTCAATTCGGTTATGTTCTACGGTATAAATTGACATTAGCTCGCTTTTCAAAAAGGGGTTTACCACAAGCTGATTCGCTTTGACTCGTTTATTCATTGATAACTGTCCTTCGGCCCCGGACAGACTTCACGCGATTTGATCGTCGCGACTGAATCGCGACGAGACAACTGTTACAACATCATTCCATGCCGATCAACTTGCATTTCGGTTGTGATACTTTTCCAGCCCGAAATTTTTGAATGTGAAATGAAAATGAATGGAAATGTCGGCGATTGAGTCGCGACGATCAAATCGCGTGAAGTCTGTCCGGGGCCTTAATCAAATTTACCGCATTTGGCTGCGAGATCCCCCATAGCGTTCAGAGTTATTACAGTGCTTGGGAGACATGGCTCATTCGACGGCCTCTCAGGCTATGACTATGGGCGAATAAGGTAAACTAAGCTTTTAGTGGCAGCTGGTCGCCAAAATTGCAATGCGAGCTTTCCATCATTTCTTGGCTTCTGAATACGCTGAGAGACTATGTGAAATCTCTAGAAGTTGTCAAAAATGTTTAAAGCGTTTTCCGGCCTCGCCTGCTGATCGGGCAGGACCGAATCTGAGCCAATTCAGCCATTTGCCGCCTTGGGTAAGGCGGCTCCATCCACGCAGTCTCCTGCGGCCGGTTGCGATTTTTGGCGCAAAGGCGTATAAAGCAGTTTTTGACAACTTTGAGGTTCCAAGCATAGTCCTGGACTCAGCGCATCCAGTAGTTAAGGAGGAATCTGAAAAGCTCGCAGTCTCCCCCCGAGTCAACTGCATGTGTGGTCCATCAGCACATAAGTATTTGATGTCACAAGAAGATCGATTTCCCTTAATTTTTGAAATGTGAATGATACCAGCAGAGTTTGTAAAACCGAACTAGCAACTTTAGATCATATCACAGGTGGGAAATCAGTGCAATCTGATTCGCGAAGTCCAGGAGTCGATACCACTAAGTTGTACCGACGAAGCTGTCTGCTACATCCTTCAGCGCGATGAAGTGGATTCTATGTGCCAAAACTACCTGAATATTTGAGTGAGACGACCGCCATCTGTTTCATTTCCATTCTCGAGATCTGGCATGTAACATGAATGTTGAAATAAAATCACATGTTGTTACTTTGACTATCTATAGACATTTCGACAGATTGAAGCCGTACAATAATATATACTGGAGGGCGCTAAAGAAGTGCAATTTTGGACATTTCCCACGAGCTTTCCATCGCAATCAGTTACTAATTCAAAGGCGTGATGAGCCTCTTGCAATGGTACACCATCTTTGCCGCAAATCAACCGCTTTCCAAAAAATTGAGGACGAAAATGAAAACATATGAAAAAAATTGGAATCGGGACAAAAATCGAAACTATAAACTAATGGAATGACCTAATTCAAGGTGTCCCAAAAATGTATCGAACGTTTGATCTTCAAGAACTTCTCTATGTGAAAAGCTTTCGCGGATCTTTTAGTGTCATACGGTAGAGCTAGGTTCAGCTTAGATTTACAGTACAGAGCAAATCAACTCTCTTGTTACTGTAGGGTTACCGTAGTTTCAACTAATTTTAAGCTTCCCCAGGCGAGAACTGCTTCTAAAAAATTCCAAAAAACCAAAGGACGTTGAACTGACGTTTTCGGGGATGCTGAATCTAATTACGAAGTTCTCCGCTACAGTATTTCTCATCTTCCGGTATGCGCACCGTAACGCTTTGGCTAACGCGAAGGCTTTTGACGACGTGTTTGTAATTGCAACGTTGATTTAGTAGATTTTGGGAAAAAGGAAAAATCTAGCGTTACGGTGCGCATGCCTTAGGAAAATGAGGAGTACGGTAGCGGAAAATTTTGTAATTCGATTCAGCATCTCCGAAAACCTCACTTTGAAGTCCTTCGGTTTTTTGGATTTTTCAGGAGCTGTTCTCGCCTGTCGGAAGCTTAAAACTAGTTGAAAGTTCCTATAGCCCTACAGTAGCTAAAAGAAATCATTGATTCGCTCTATACTGTAAATCTAAGTTGAACCAGCTCTACCGTATTACACTAAAAGATCTGCGAAAGCTTTTCACATAGAGAACTTATTATCAAACGTTCGACACATTTTTTGGGACACCCTGTATTAGGTCACTCCATTAGTTCATAGTTTCTATTTTCGTCCCAATTCAATTTTTATCCATACGTTTTCATTTTCGTCCTCAATTTTTTGGAAAGCGGTATGATTTGCGGCAAAGATGCGTGTATTGTAAGAGGCTCATCACGCTTTTGAATCATAGTAATTGATTGCGATGGAATGCTAATCTGCTTCGATATTTTAGCTTCCAAAGATGGGAGTCTCGAAAGGCAAAAGGTGCATTTTTGACATCTGATGATTTTTGCGTGTAAAAAGCCAGCGTTTATTGCACAGTTTGTTAACCATTATGGAAAATGGCGTTCCCCGTCAATTCAGAACAAAAGTAGATTAGCTTACTTTAAATGACCAGAATTAAGTAAAGTGTACTTGAACAAGAATTTTGATACTGGGCAGGAGGTCTTGCACTGAAAATTGCTGAACAAGGAGAAGACTGTTGGCTGTGCTGTATTATGGTCGCGGAAAGATGGATGAGGAATCAGTCGACAAAGGAGAACATCAATTTTGGTCTGATACCGACATTTGAACTCTATCCTGTATAGAGCTGAATTATAAAAAGATAAAATATTCATTCTCTAATGACAATTAAGAAATTTCGCGATTCATTAGTGTTTGGCATAACTCATTCATGGTCATTGACTGTATTAAAAGACAATTACTATGGTTCGGAGATAAGAAGACATTACTATCTTAGGTTGGCACATAAGTTTTGCAACTTCTTTCTACAGCTTTCACTTTTTGAATGGGCACCTTCCATTTTTTGGTATCAAAATGATTATCATGTTAGCAAGGAATGCAGCCATTTGTGCCGAATCCCAAGATCGCATTTGAGAGCTACGGTAAGGCAGTTTTTAAATGGGAAAGAAAATGGAATTGACAGGTGAGTAAAACTTGGTTTAGGGCAGGGGGGGGGGGGAGGAAATGCAACATCCGATTACGAAAATGATACAATTTTCGTGAAAGGCCTATTTTGTTACGGAAAAATTAAGTTACAAAAAATCACCGAACTAATTTTGATTCTGAAAAAAATTGATTATGATATACGTGTTCTGCATTTCAAATTAATCCATTATGCAAAGTTTTGCCGAAACGGTGGTTCCGACTCTTAGTCATTAATGGAATTCCGAGACAATTCTGACGCATTCGGTTAGTTCGAGTTCACGAGATCGACAGATTTCGATTTTCGAATACTTTTTTTCGTCTGGTCTCAACAGCCAACCTCTGAGAACCTTTTGCATACAGCTCCAGCTGAATTTGGTCAAATCTTTTTCCCTATGTCTTAGTTTTTGCTTAAAAACCGTTAAACCTCAGTTTTGGCCGCTTTTAGGAAATTGCATAAGTTATTCCACTTTGCCATAAAAATTGAAGCGCTTTACACAAGTTTATAGCTCATTTCCGAGTCTACATAAAGCCGACATTCGAATGCTCCTCATTCAAAGAAAGAAATAATGGACAAAGTTGCAAAATTTATGTGCCAACCTAATTTTTTTTGATGATAGCCCTGGGTGTTATCCCCGAATGTGGCACCATCTTTTGCAGGCAGAAAATGCTATTTTTGCAGCGTAAAAAATATTTATGATGAAAAACTTATCTCCCACCATAGATTTTTCTACGAACAAGACCATAGCCTGTTCGAATGACGTCGAAAACGTGCATGAGCACGGTATATGAAGACAAATACTTGTGTGGGAAAAGGCTGAGGCTGAAATAGGTTCCATTGTACAGCCCCAGACAACTGAAGAAAAAAGTTGCAGCCATTATGGAGCAATTACCTAGAAAATATTTGCAAAGAATGGTCAGAACTTGACCCAGCCTGACAAATACGCTATATCTCATCGGAAACCCTGAAACACTGATCACAAGTACATGCTTATTATAGGCCAAGCGACTGTTTGAAAGGAGTTATGAGCGTTTGAATGTGCGATTTGCCAAGTGTTTTGTGGAGCATGTTCCACGAAGTACTTTTCGAAAACACTTATTCAGGTTTCTAAAAAATGTGCTTCTTCCCCGTAAATAAATCGAGAATCACTGTAGATCCGAGTCATTAATTAGCCTTTAATGGAAATGTATCCTCGAAAATTGATAAATTTCTCATATCTGAACACTCATAACTCCTTCCGGAGAGTCGCTTGGCAGATAATAAACATTTATTTGGAATCAGCGTTCCAAGACGATCCGATGATATGCAGCTTGTTTTGAATGGCCGGGTTAAGTTCTGACTATTTCCTTTCCTTTCCTTTATTTCCTACGCGACCTTAAAACCAAACTGGAATTTCCAAGCTTGAAATTTTGTAACTTAATGGACACGCTACAAAATACCCGAAATTTTCAATACAAAATGTAGGAGGATGGCATCGTAATACAGAAGAAATTGCAGCGAACAGCTTTCGTAGCTTCGAAGAATCCAGATGCGACCCAGATACGACCCACTTTTTTCATTTTTTCTTGCCATACATAAAATTATAACCAACCACAGACTACGAAATAAGACCGAATTTTGCGCAAATGAAGTAGAGCTTTTCCAAGCAGCTATTGTGTTGGGCATATGGACAACATCATCAAAAGATCTAACACTTTGACGATCGCTTGACATACTAGGCATGTCGAGGCTTGATTTTAATCAGGGCTAATATCTTGGGTCAAACTCACTTCGGGAGTTTTCTTCTATACTGGATCTAAATATAACCTCCACTATTTTTGTCAGCCTCTCAGCGCTACTGTAATGGGATTCTGCGTGATTTTATCTAAATGTTGAGTGGTCCGGAAAGGCCTTTGTGGTCAATGTGTTAAATATTGGCTCGTCGTTGGTAAGCTTTTGTCGACTTTGTGCACCATCTGCTTCTTCAATCACTAATTGATACACAATACTCTATGAATTTATTCTAATGAATCTTCAATGAAATTCGCTACTCGATTTTTTTCTAAACCCGCTTTTTCCAAAACCCAAACTGCTTCTTCCTACATCCTTCCCCCCCCCCCCACCCTCCCTCCCACCGTAGGTATCGTCGATTCGTTGACTGTACGGACTGGACATAGCAAGCCTTTTACCTCGCGGAGCACGCGCGGCGAGGTAAAAGGCTTGCTCCAATACAAACCCGCCATTGTTAAAATCGTGCTCTCGCAACATTTTAGCGGCGCCGCGCATGGTTTGCAGCGGTTGAGCAATCCGTACGGCCAGCGAATCGACGATGCCTTCACGATCCCCGTTGCGACAGTCGCATCACACGCTTGACCCTGATTAAAGGGTATTTGGAGTGAAAAATTCAACGTTTATTATATTAGCGCTTCGTACTGAGCGTAAGGTAGCTAACTCATTTTTTAAACAGTTTTCATGTTCAAAAACGACCATTTTTGCTAGGTGACACAGTTAAACTTCAGAAATCGTCAAAACTTGGTCCACGAGCTTTTTTGACATGCTAATTACGAAAACGATAAGCACTATTCTTGACAGGGCCTCCTTATGTTTGCTGTTGGTGAAGATCTTATTGGAACCAAACTCAGAGGCGGAGGGTGGTGTGCCACACTTCTTTCTCGACCCTAGACGTTGATACATCTTTTAATGATTTCGGATAGCCGAAACTAGCTTTAGCTTGTTGCAATTGATTTCTTGGGATTTTCGCATTTGTGAACGAGTTTACGGCTTTGGCTATCGGGAAGTGGGCCAGCATACATTCCATGCCATTAGAATCTTATATATAAAGCTGAATGTCTGTTTGTCTGTCTGTATGTCTGTCTGTATGTCTGTCTGTCTGTGTGTACGTATGTTCCGAATAGAAAATTCCATTTCTGAACCGATCCGGACCAAACTTGGCACACATACACTACGGGCCCCGGCGGGTGTCATAGGCTACTTTTCGTCAATCGATCGATATCGATTTTATCGATTTTTATCGATTTTTTTGCTGAGTTCACCTACGGGGCT